TCTCACCCACCGAACTTCCCCGTGTTTTTATTTGAGTTGTTCGTGGCGCAATGCACTCTGGTTAAATGCAATGCATTGTGGTAAAAAGTGTGGTTAAATGCAATGCATTGTGGTAAAAAGTGATGAATTCGAGAATTCGTCGTCCCTTATATATTTCCTTTAAATCCTGATTATGTTGCTGCTCGCTCTCTTCGGTCGCTCCGCAGCAATAATAATAATAATATTTCTACAACCAAAGATGTAATATGTTGCTCTAATGGCTATATTTATCATTTTCTTGATTAAACTGAAGTTGCTGCTTTTGTCAATGCCAATGTCATTCATCATATCTAAGAACGTGGAGTATTCATCGGAGTAAACGCCAAGGGAGCTCAAGGAGAGATTTACAAATTTCACACATCTGTAATTTCTACTCATTTCTTTGATCGAGTTCAGATAGTTTTCTTTTTTACGCACGGCATTGTTGTTAAGGTTAGACTCGCAACCAACTAGAACAGTATAGGCACTTGGACTGAATGAGGAAAAGAGGATCTGGACGATAATTTTCACCAGTTATTATTGAGGGATTCAGGAAACCATTAACGTCTGCATAGAGTGAAGAGTGAACATTAATTACGGGTTGAAGTGACTTAAGGATAGAGTCGTGTCTCCAGGTAAAGCGATATTTTTACGGTGACTGATTTTGATTGTTATACTAGATGCACGCAAGTTGCAAATGGCAGGAGCCCATGATGGCTGATGTAAAATTAAAAACCGTCATTGTGGAAAAACGTATCTTCGAGGTGAAAAAGAAACTTACTATATACACATTTTATGTTAACAACTTTCCCTTACTACGGACACCATGTTTTGTAAATCAATGATTCATGTTATGTAAATTCCATGGCTCTTGGCTGAGGTTGGGTTCATCTTACTTGATACGCCGACTAAACTTCAGTACACTGTTTTTTTTTTCGACTTTTTATGCGCTTAAAACATGGTTCTAGTTAGCGAGGGTAAAATTACAGTTACTGTGTGAAGGACATCAGGGGAAATTGACTTGACTATTAAAGCGAGGTGTTCGATTAGCGAGGGTTCGAGCAATCGGGACCAGAAAAATAGGTTTCGCACGATCGGCACTAAATCTGACAGACCACACAATGTAACATCTGCTTTTATTCTAATATTACACGTAACTTAACAATAAATTGTATATCTACGCGATGTTTGAATTAGCGACGAGCATTCCTAGAAGGCAAAATCCCGAGGAGGCACTCTAGTAACTCGCGCGAATATTAAGGAAAGTACTTACAGTTGAAATATACAGTCGGTATGACAGAAAAAATCTCGACTTGCTTGAACTGGGGCCGCGAGGAATCGGTAGGTAATGATGACGTTTCTATTGTTCGCGCCCGCAAGTACGAAATGGTTAAGATGACGTAAAGACAGAAAATCCTAAAGGGCTGCTTAGGTAGATTTTGTGACATTTATTGAACAGTCATACTTCAATACTCTTTCGCGTTATGTGTCATCAGTGACATTCTGTGGAGCAGTTGTTTTGACAGTTATGGACCAAAAGACACTCGTTAAGCGCAGATGAAGTTATAAGGTGCGCATAACTGTGTATCTAAACTATATTAATTATAAACTTGGAGAGTTCGCTACGAGTTCACAAAATAATCTTTGATTGAAAACATTGCCAGGCACTCTTTCTCTCTTGACCGAAATAAGATTCAGCCCCAAACTAGCAAGACGAGCGGATCAACAGCTAGCTTATCACTAGCAGCAAGGGCGGATCGAGAATTTTTTTTTGGGAGGGGGTGCATTCGTCTCTTGCTCTACTTCAACACCAATAAACCACATAGTTTTTTTTGCAGAATACTAGTTGTATTAGAAAACCCGCAGGNGGGGGGGGGGGGGGGGGGGTGTCAAGTGTCAAAGGACTTGTTACACATATATTAGGCTTGAGTAGGAGTAATAAATAAAAAACAGAAAGGCTTTTTTAACTTTAATCAACCACATAATAGTTAGGTATTTTTAAATGCTTTTCTCTACAGAAAGGTGTGTTTTCCTTTCGAATAAACGAATGAATCAGGAGTGAATCTCCCTTTCTTACTCGCCATCCGCCATTAATACACGCTCAAAAGAGGTAAACTGGCTTCCATTCGCTGATTGGAGAATCTTGATCACATGGCCTTAGCGCGCGGAAAATGGAAACGAAAAATGAAGCCGCGGTGAAGTCTGGGTAAATGGGAGACGCAGAAAAAAACTGGTTCCGAAGTTAACTGATCAAAGATGGCCGAAATAGAAGAAGATGCAATCGAGGTGAAATCTTTTTTCTTTTCTTTTTGGTGTCAGTCTTTTTTGAATAAAAAATATCTTATCAGTTAATCAAAATTTTACAGCAAATGGGAGGCTTTTTTTCGCTATTTTATGTTTTGGTGTTGTAATCAGATTTGAAGGTAGCAGTCCGTCGCACACATGTACAGGTGAATTTTGCTCGATCTAGCGCTTTGTACTTTAGCTTAGTGAAGGTTTGCATATTTTTTCAGGATGATTCGGAGACATCTCAGTCGGAAACGGCAGGAAAACGAAAGAGGCTTTTCCACAAGGAATGTAAGTCTCAATTTACCGAGAGCTCAAGGCACAAAATAATATATATACTCTATCTGTCTATCTATCTATCAAAGATTTATGCTGGACCAATGTTATTATTTTGTTTTCCAGTGCGATGTATGATGTACGGATTTGGTGATGAGCAGGTTCCATTTACAGAGTCTGTAGATTTACTGGAAGATCTTGTAGTGGAATATATCACAGAAATGGTAAGACGCTTGTGCTCGCCCAGGGCATCCCATAATTATGTTATGTATCAAAGGACGAGCCAAGTGATGCTGTGGGTAATTGGCACCTTCACATGAGACTATCAGTTGTTTATTAAGGCCAAACATCAAGTCAATGTCCAGTGACTTCTGGCATACCCCGGGGTACAGTTCGTGGCCCATTGCTCTTCTTATTATATATGAGCGACTTTCCAAACAACGTGCAATCATCAGTTAAGCTTTTTACAGTTGATGCCCTACTTTGCAGCATTGTTGCAAGCAATGCAGACTTTGACCTTCTTCAATCTGGCCTACATATATGCAAACTTGAATCCAGGCAGTATTATGGGCAAGTGGAGTTTGATCCTTCCAAATGCAAAATTGTTACCCATCTCACATAAGAAAAATCCACCCCAGAGAATTATTTTTTCTGTGCTGTAGAGTTGGAACAGGTTGGTAGTTTCCATACTGTGGGGTTACCATCAGTATCAAGCTCGAGTGGTCAGCCCATGTTTCAATTACAGCAGCAAAAGCAAACAAATCGTTGGGTATAATACAACACAACGTTTGGAATTGTCCCAGGAATGTGAGAGAAATAGCATATACATCCTTGGTACGGCCAAAACTAGAATATGCAAGTGTGGCTTGGGAACCGTTTTTAAAGAAAGATATCAGTATACTGGAAAGAGTTCAATGCAATGCAGCACGGTTCTTCTCTCAGAATTATAAAAGATATGCGAGTGTTACAGACATGATTAGAGACTTTGGGCAGGAACGTCAGTTTATTAATTAACTCATGGTATTATTCATATAGACAGCCGAAAATGTAGAAATGTCAGCTGACAGTTATCGGCCCTTACTCAGTCGCCATATCGACCAACTCTTGGGTAATCCGTCGGTCATTATCAGTCAGCCAATGTGTCGACTAAGAGCCAGTTTACATGTTTACCATCATATGGGGGCAAATAGTGTTGGACAGTATGTTGACCGACAATCAGCTAACCTATCTACCATTCGTCATTATCATCATGATAAGCCTGTGCCACCACTGTCAGAGTATAGTTAGGGGCTTAGTTGATGTTCTCTAATGGGCATGAGAAAAAATATTCATATCATGCATGCTTGTTAATTAAAGTTCCTGTGTTTCTTGTGACTAGACTCTTAAGGCCATGGAAGTTGGTAAAAAAGGAAAAGTGCATGTTGAAGATATAGTTTTCTTGATAAGAAAAGATCCAAAGAAATATGCCAGGGTAAAGGTGAGAAAGTAAATTTGTGCAGAAAACTTTTATAATTAAACATTGTAAATAATCAACATTATTATTCATTCAAAATACTTCTCTGTTTCTGATTGATTTAAGTCCCCTGGTTAATTCTTCATAACCAGGTGGTGCTTACCAAAATTTGGGTGAAATGGGCAAAATATATGTACACTGTACTAAAAATGAAAGGAACAAACGCAAGACTATGCAAAAAAATTATTGCTAGCTGAATGTTATCTGGTTTTGAGGAGTATCTGCTAGGAAAAACAATCCAACAGACCATTATTTTTTTAAAAAAAACTGTGCCAAGAGACATTGAAGAATGTATTATGAGGAGGTAAGGATGTTACTTAGAAATATTTTGAATGAATAATAAAGCCATTATTAAAATAATTTGGCTTTCATTAATCATATGACGTGAAGGATCATACACATCTGGGAGAACACCTTCTTTGCTCTACGTTATTCTTAATATACTTGGCATCATTCAGTAATAATTAGTATCAGTAATAACTTTGATCACTGTAAATCAACA